TATTGTAACAACCTATAGAAACTATATGAACAAATCCTTCGCAACACCTCTTGTGTAACTTTCATATTCTTAAAGTAAAATATCTGTCGCATATATTACTATGATGAACAAAACAACCATTCATCCATATTAGCTTCTTTAGTGACAAGTGACATAACATAAGATTCGCCAAATTCAAAACGAAATGTGTTTCCTCGATTTATATTGATTCCATTAAAAGTTTCATTATTGAAGCAGGAAATAAACACAAGATGGGATTAAAATTTATCAGCTGCCCATTAATCAAGTACCCCAAATTGACTTTTATAGACCTTCTTTATTTGGGCAATTAGTTTTCTGGGTCAGATGAAGAAAAAGAAAAAAACTACAAATGAGAGTATATAAAGGCTTCACAAACTGATTAAGTTCTAGTGTTGTGGCGATTAAATTCTACTAAAGGAAACAAAATAAGATTAAATAAAAATAAGGGGGTAAAGAACCAGACCGAGTTTGACGATGCAACGAACTGGTTTCGTTAGACTGATGGAAGCGCTTTGGTGCTGCTGCTTTGTGTTGCTCACCTCCATTTTGCAATTTCTGGGTTATTGATCTAAAGCTCTGGGCTTTTCTTTTCACTGTGAAGTTTAAGGTGCAGCAGATTCGCACGCAGTCAATGGAGTCAGAGCTCAAAACAAAGTTCCTCCGAGGTTATTTTCTTCTGCCAAAATGGGTTCTCGCAGGAAGGGGAAAAAAGCAACTTATTTCCCAATTAGCTAAAAAAGATTGGGAGTTTCACTAAAACACTCAAAATGGGAGCTAAAATTATAAAAAAATCCAACACCCAACACTTTATAAACACACTCAAAACTCAATCATTACACACACTCAAAACCCATTTATAAACACACCCAAAAAATATACAATTGTTGATTTTTGAGTTGATTTTGGGTGTGTTTCTATGTTTAAATAGTGTTTGGATTTTTTTATAAATACATGTCTAGAATTGGGTTTATTTATAAATTTGTAAAAAAAGGTTCTCAACTTTAATTGATAATTGTAAGGCCACATTACAGTTTTAGACCTGTATTAAGTTGATGGGTCAAATGCCAACATGGTCTAGTCGCCTTGACTTGCAGAACTGTAATGTCCTGTTTGAATCCAAATGACAATTTAATCGAGTACATTCTACTATCAAACTATCTATTGAATTTCTAATTTATCATAATATAAAATAATCAAAAAAGATATATTGAATTATGAAATAAATGTAATTTTAATAAATACACCTTACTCCACACATTCAACCCTAATCAAACGTAGTAATTTTTTGCTATTACTTTTATTTTCAATACTAATTTACTATGAAGTGCGAATGTGTTCTTCTATGATCGGGCCTTTTGTTTTTATTTTTTATTTCTTGGGTAATGATCATTTTCAGGATGTTAGAGCTTAAAGCTATTAAATTAGTTGCTGCTTTATCTGAATACGATTTTGAGGCAGAGGCTATCGCTTTCTATGTGTATCTTGCTGAAGAGTGAGAAAGTAAGAGTCAGCTTAGAATTGGAAAAATTTATGCATCTCTGATAATTTACTGAAAGAGACCATTTTGACTGAAGTGAATTAGATTATTTCTTTATGTGAATTACATTCTTGCATCACATATAAGTTAGATATAACAGAAGGACTGTTGGTTTTCTTCCATTGATCCGTGTAGAAAAGGGTTGGATTACCCCCAAGATCTGATTTTGTGTTGTAGAAAACTATGATGATTATGTTTTGCTTACGGCCATGGAGTGGTTTTATAACGATGTTGAGTATATTAATGGAGAAAAAATTTCGTTTAATGTGTTCCTCGTGTTGTGGAATTTGCAAGTCTGGAAACCACTTGGTCCGACTTTTTCTGAATAAATTACTTTTGTAAAATATTAGAATATTGGACATTTATGGAGGAATGGTGTAAATGTATTTTTTTAGACTTTTGATACAGTGTATTAGAGTATACTAGAGGTATTTTAGTAGTTAAATAAAGTATATTTAGTTAATTTTAGGATTCGTTTAACAACACTCAATACTATTAAGTACTCATGTTTGGGATTATGTTGGAATTGAATGACTTTTTAATATTCTTGCTGCAGATGTAAACCTTTCTATTTGTTTCTAATAAAATTTTCCAGTGACTTTGACAAAAAAAAATATCATTAAGTGTACTTAATTAATTTTTGGTAGGTATAGCTTTTCTAATCTAATTTAGGTTAGGATTAAAAGTAAGGCCAAAAATCATTTTTGCTCATTGTAGTTTGGCACTTCAACCATTTTTGACCTTATAGTTTCAATTTTGTCAATTTTGTCATTATAATTTCATAATTGTAGCAATTTAAGAACCATTCTAATTTTCATCAAATTATTCTAATTTTTGTTATCTATTTAAGGGTATTTTGGTCCAAACTTGCATCCCCTCCCCCAACCCATCAACAGTCACAAGCAGTCCCCACCCAACCCCAGCCAACCACCAAACCCTGTAACTGAACGCAAACACATCCTCCCAAGGCTACCCCAACCCCAACAAATGTACAAGGCATAAGCTAGCAAGTCGAGAGCTATGTTCCAATAGTTGCACCAAGATTGACTGGCGTCTCCAAGCAATACGTACGAGATCGAGTTGGGAGAAAGAGGGCAAATTGAGGAGAGATTGGAAGTGGGACTTTTGTTGGGGGCTGTGGAGACGGTTGCCCCTCTGATTTTAGCCCAATTATGTTTTGGGTTCCTTATGTTTTTATTCAATTGTTGATTGTGTTCTTGTTGTTTTATTTATTTATTTTAACATTCACTACTTTTCTTGCACAAATTGTTAAATACATATAGATCTATGAGTCCATGATATCATGGGGTTAGGGCGGCCTTGGGAAGCTATGGTGGCTGTAGGGATGGCAAAAATCCCCGCCGGGGCGGGTCCCTGACCCTAACAGGTGGAGATTTCAAGGCCAAATGGGTATCGGGTGCGGGGATCCCCGATGAGTATGGGTAAAAAAAAATAGGGGATTCGGGGCCGGTATGGGGGATAGTCCCCCGACGAAGACGGGAATGAGGATTCCTTGAAACTTATTAAACGGGGATGGGTTTGGGGACGAGGGAGGGGACGGGGATGGTATTGTCATACCCGGCCCCTACCCGACCCGTTGCCATCCCTAGGTGGCGGTTAGTTACAGGGGTGTCGTGGCTAGTGGGGGTTGGGTGGTACTGTTCTTCAGTATTGGCTTGTTGGGGAGGGGATGCAAGTTAGGACCAAAATACCCCTGAATAGATAACAGAAGTAAGAATAATTGACAGAAATTAGGATTATCCTTAAATTGCTACAAATATAAAACAACGATGACAAAATTGATGAAATTGAAACTATAAGTTCAAAAGTGATTGAAGTGTCAAATTACAGAACTAAAAGTGACTTTTGTCCTAAAAGTAAAACCAGTGGTTTTTAAAGTAATAAATAGGTGAAAGGGACTCTTTTGGGAACTGGGATGTGATTGTGATTGTGTATGTTCATATAATGAACACGTTGAGCGACTTATATAGTACGGAGGAGGTAGGTGGTTCTTCCTTCATCTGGACAACAATTCCTGGCAGAATATGTGTGGCCACGATCTCATCCTGTTATGGTAGCATATCAATTTATTTATACACACATATATATATATATATATTAAAAATATAAGAACGCACGTTGTCTGCAGATGATGAATAATATATAACAAATATCACTTGCACATTTATTAATTTTATCCACTATTTATAATGCGTTGGATTTTTTTGTGAGCTTTGGGCCGTTGGATTTTCGGATAAACAAAACAATAAAGACAGCAGGCAAGGTTATCTACAAGCCTGGGGCTTACAGCTTGAGATAAGAACACCGACAATTTAGTTTTCTAAACTCAACTTGTAACATGTAACATGTACGTATCTATATATGTATCGATATATGTATCTGCGTGCAGCTTGTTCAGTTTGTGCAGTTTGCGATTGCGACTGTTGCAGCACACAGACAACACTGACTGACAGACAGCGCTCCATTCCCCGTTCCCTCCCATGATTTTAATTTTTAGTACCAACCAATAGTCTATGCAATTCATCCACTCTCCTCTTTACTATTATCGTTATAAGTCAATCACCATACGTGCTCCCACATTACTTAATAATATGAGATGTTTATGCAAAAATTTCACACCCGCAAGAAGGGGTGTTTTAAGTCTCTCCACTTATTACCAGTTAAATTAGCATTAGTGCTCGCATTCTAATAGATTGTATGGTAGACAGACTCGTGCCAACTGAAAACAACAACCTTTTCCATCATTTACCAAAAATAAAACCACATTTACAAGATTTAATATTTAAATTTATCTTATTCTCCTAAACTTCAAACAGAAATTATAACCTATGCTGTGCATTAGTCATTGAGAAGTGGGAATTGGGGGCATAGACTGCAGTGTATGAATTTGCTTAGATTTTAATCAACACTTGTCGCATGCTTTAATCCCAAGTAGTATTTTCACAATTGTAGTGGTTTTCAGTAATTATTATAGAGTTCGAGTCTTAACATTCGTCACATTTTCACCTTCCAGCCTTATACTGCCAAATTTTATCAATTAGTAACATTAATAATAGCATACAAAATTAATATATTGTTAACCAACATTTTAAAAGAAACCCACCACCTCACATGAGAGAGAGGATTCCATAGCTGATACTGATAGGACCATAATCCGGATGTAGAGTAAACCGCTTCTCCGGCAAATCACTGTGTTTTCAATTTTATTTATTTATTATTATTATTAATCTGCTCTCAAAACCTTTACATTTGGAAGATTTGGAAGTTTTGAACATCCTTGATTGATATCCTACACACACACAAAGAAAAAAAAAATAAAATAATCCCGTAGTTTCCGGAAAGTCTTCGGGGCATTGTCGTCATTTCGCATCTAAGCTGGAGCACGGAGGCAGTGGTAGTTACCGCCACCTACACCAAACAACAAATCCCATAAATAAAAAAGACAAAAACAGAAAAGAAAAGGGAAAATCAGAGAGAGCTTTTTCGTATCTGCGGCGTGGACTTTTTGCTGAATTTCAGATCCACAGAGCCGAAAAAAACCACATCGACACTCAGACAGACAAAGCAAACAAAACAACACAGAAAGAGAAAAAAAGCAGAGAGAAAGAGTTAGTTGAAAGTTCTGGCCACTGGCTTGTCGATCAAATGGCTGAGAACCAAGAGCAGCCACCGGGCCCACCGCCGTCCACTTCATCGTCACCCTTGAAATCAGCTGCTCCTCCTCCTCCTCCTCCGCAGCGCCCTACGATCACCCTCCCTCCGCGCTCCTCTTTCGAGATGCTCTTCAACTCCGGCGGCGCCAATAGTGGGCCGGGTTTCGGCCTCGGCTTCAGCCCAGGGCCCATGACGCTCGTCTCCAGCTTCTTGTCCGATGGCGAAGACTGCAAGTCCTTCTCTCAGCTGCTCGCAGGAGCCATGTCTCCGGCGGCCAGGCCGCCTGGCTTCCCTCAGCTCGAAGACCGAGGCTCCGGCGACGGCGACGACAACTCCGATTTCCGGTTCAAGCAGAACAGACCGTCGCCGATGTTTTCGGTCCCGTCTCCGGGCTTGCTCGACTCGCCGGGGCTCTTCTCGCCTGGTCAGGTACTCAACTCATTTACCGTTACCTCTTCTTGCTAGCTTATTTGAGAGTTGGGCATTTTTGAAAAGTTTCGTTTTTTTTTTTTTTGGGTTTAGATTTTTCCGAGTTCAATGTCTTGTCCTTAGTTGCTGCCTAGACTGAGGAAAAAATGGTAACTTTATTTATTTATAAAGAACTGACGAGAAAAGAAAGTAGAAATTTTTTGATAGATTGAGTCCGTTTTAAATGGCGGCAAGTAGTTGTAATTAAGGTACAGATTAAAGATTCTAAATTTAGTAACTTTTTTTTTTTTTTTTTTTTTTTTTTTTTTTTTTTTTTTTTTTTTTTTGCCCGGGGAAGTGGGGAATCTGGCAATGGTTTTGGGTTCTTAGAATTGATTCACTTGTTTTTTAGGAAAATTGGATAAAGCTACTTCAAACCAATCTGCTTAGGGCTTTGTTGTTGCTTTGATACGCTACTTGGAATCGGTTTCTTATGGTTGTGATTTTTGTTTCATGTAGGGACCCTTTGGAATGACACACCAGCAGGCCCTAGCACAGGTCACAGCTCAGGCTGCACAATCCTCTTCCTATTTCCATATCCCAACTGAATACTCATCTTCTTTATCGACAGTGCCCGCCACATCCTTGACACAGCTTCCAGCCTTTACTTCCGATTCAACAGCACCCCAGGAGATGCCATCTGGAGCAGCTGACTCTGGGGTGGCTATAAAAGAATCATCTGACATCTCCCATTCTGATCAGAGATCCCAACCGTCTTCGTTTACTGTTGATAAGCCTAATGATGATGGATACAATTGGCGTAAATATGGGCAGAAGCAGGTGAAGGGCAGTGAGTTTCCTCGAAGTTATTACAAATGCACGCATTCAAATTGTCCTGTTAAGAAGAAGGTCGAGCGCTCAATTGATGGACAAATAACTGAGATTATTTACAAGGGTGAGCACAACCATGAACGTCCTCAGTCCAAGCGTGCAAAGGATTCTGGAAATCCGATTGGAAACATTCAGGCGAATCCTGACTTAGCTTCCCAAGTTCATGGTGGGCATTTGAACAAATCTAAGAAGGGTCAGGAATCTAGCCAAGCAACACACGATCATTTATCTGGGACTAGTGACAGTGAGGAAGTAGGAGATGCTGAAACCAGAGTAGATGAAAAAGATGAAGATCAACCTGACCCAAAGAGACGGTAGATATTTTATGTAGATATGGATATGCATACTTGTGGTATAGTTAATGTTCCCTGTTTGTCTTGTATCCTTAACACCTTTCCTTTTTCCAGAAATACAGAGGTTAGGGCAGAGCCAGCTTCTTCACATCGGACTCTGACAGAGCCTAGAATCGTAGTGCAGACAACCAGTGAAGTCGATCTTTTAGACGATGGCTATAGGTGGCGCAAGTATGGGCAGAAAGTCGTCAAAGGCAACCCTTATCCCCGGTAATACTGCTTATCCTAATTTCTAAGCTTAGTCATATTTACTGTTCGAATATAATAGACTTTTTCAAGGAGGTTTGGTGCTGATCTTTAGTTTGATTTTGAGGACGGAACTAGATTTTCTTATGTGACTACAAAACTAACGTTTTATGTCCTTCACATGACATAAAATGTTTAAAAATCCATTGCCATATAATTACTTGTCATTAACTGTTTACAAATCTAATAGCATAGATTTAAATCCTGGAAAATGAATTTTGAGAGCTAAAAACCTTCTAGTTTTCATTGCCTATTCTCTTTATGTTGCCTAACATTTTCAATAAAAGGAGTATATCCTTTGGTGCATGGTTGGTTAAAAAAGTTCCTCATCTGTCATGCTGCATTCTGCAGGAGCTATTACAAATGCACGTTCCCTGCCTGCAATGTCCGTAAGCATGTAGAGAGAGCCTCGACAGATCCTAAAGCTGTCATAACAACGTATGAGGGAAAACATAATCATGATGTACCAGCTTCTAAAACTGGCAGCCACTACGCAGCCAACAACAATGCCTCAAATCTAAGAGCAGTCAACGCAGGAACTGAGAAGATTAACAAGATGGATCTTAGAAACAATGACCAACAGCCTATAGCACGTTTACGCTTAAAAGAAGAACAAATAACATGATTTCTGTGAGTTTCAACAGGAAAACAAGCAAGAGTCGGAGAACTTGAAATTTCCACGAAGCAGGCAAAAGTTGTATGCGATCTTTGTCTGAATCTGTTTTTCACTCCAGACCGTAGTTTTGACCAAGGCCCAATTACGCAATTGCTAGTGTACAAATGAGAAAGGAAGAAGTCAGGTCAAATTTTTGTTGTATGTAAACTAATTAACAAGCATACTGTATTAAAATTTTACAACTTCTGTGCATTCTTTTGTATATGGAAACAGTGATGTTTTATATGATTATTTGCATCGGTGTTTGAACTGAAAATCCCCGAAATTATAACGACTTTCGGCTTTGCCTATTTCTTTTCGTTCTTGATTTAGGGTATTGTTTTGTAGAAAAGTATTTAATAGGTAGTTTGAGCACATGGTTATGTGATTAGAATCCTCTGTTACAAGTTTTTATGATTGCTGCTGCATCAATGGCGTGTTAATTCTCATCACCACAACCCGCAACTTGATCCGTTTATGAAGCATGATCATTTATCTCTTCTTTTATCAAAACCTAAATAAGCAACCTGCAATCTCGCATATACCTTTAAGTCCTCAGTTTTGTTTATAAGATTTGTTTCCAATTTATGATCATGTGGGTTACAGATCTCATGTTTACACCATTGAATTGAATTGGTCGCAGTGAAATTACAGGCTTTTAAATGCAAACCCTCCAGGATCCAGGTGCCTGTCCAAATCAGTCATCCATAGTTACAAGCGTAGGTATTTGACCATGGTTTACAAATTCCATCTTATTCAAGCGCAGGCAGCACAAGACTTGCTCTGGCAATTCTTCTTGTTTTTGTGCCTGCCAAAACCAGCAAAGAAAACCCCAAGTCAGTGTAAAAGTAAAAATTGGATGCTCAAAAAAAAAAAAAAAAAAGGGTTTCATATTGAATGTACCTGGATTGTTAATCCCAAATCAAGCACGCCGTTGGTCAAACGCTCTCTGAATGATTCAAGTCCTTTCCTGGATATGTAGCCGAACCTATGGATATCTAGGTCAATCTCAAAGTAATTAGGTCCCTGTCAAATAGATTGCAGAGGTCCAGTTAGCTGAAAGCACTGGTTTAGTTTATACGAGAACAAGAAATATATGTTCTTTTTCTTTTGTTTTCTTTTTACCCTGTAGAAATTGTGTTGAGGGCGGGAAAGCACAGGCTTATCATTATAAGCAGATAGAAGCTTCCTTTCTGCAGAACTCAACTGGAGGTCATCTGGATTGACCAATCCAGCCATGATTTTTAGCCTTTCCCTGAAGGGAACCACTGAATCCTTTGCAAACCCTTTTACTTTTTCTGTCTCGTCCTCAACAAATTTCTGTAACAGAACAAAACATAAAGAAAGTCATACTCTGTGCACCCAGATCAGAGATATGGAAATTGGAAAATTGATGTAGTACCCTGATACTGTCTTGAAACTGAGCAGATATCTCTTTGTCAAAATTTTCATTCACTTTAAAATACAATACAAGACTCATGCCTTCCCCGTCGCAATCACCAAGGAACATTGTGGCAGGATAAGTAGGCAACTGCAACAACACCAGAATCAATTCACTAGAAGTTTTCTATATACAGCGACGAATGCTATGAAATTGCACCTCAGTTTTACAACTACAACACCATCAAAACTGAGCCTACAGCAAAGTATTTTGGGGTAAAGAGGGAGAGAGAACCTGTATATTAACAATCAGGAGGGAAGGAACTTTGTCATGTGGTTTTACAGAAGGAAGCTCAAGATGCTGAGCAATGTGATCTCTCTTTCGGGGGCAGATAAACAAATCAACACCAATTGGTACGTATGAGCTGTAGTTTGGAGCAGGGTACTTCTGTTTATCTCTGCATAATAAATTTTTCATGTTTAGACCATCAAAATCAATGATCAAGAAAAAACAAAATTAGGAACAGGCAAACAACTAGCATACTTGAAATAATTCTCGCCACGGAGCTTAAATACTGAAGGTGGAACTGCAGACCAGGATCCAGGACTTGGCTTATCATCGGTTGAACAAGGAATGCGAAGTCCTGCTCTTGGGCGAAATAAGTATTTATGATCAGACGCACCTGTTCATACACTTGTTACACTTAGTATTGCAGCAGTCTGTGTGTATGCTTAAACTCATATTTAAGCAATGTTAGTGGATAATAAAATGCAGCATCACATTGCTATCTCATAATCACAAAACCCATATACATTCTGCAGAAACTTATATTAGGTACTCACCGGTCTTTTCACTTTCGTCGATGGATTTCCTCTTATAAGAGAGCATGATAACTGCCGGTTGCTTAGGGTTCTTGTCATTAAAACTGACTTGGGTTTTCTCTACCGAATGGCGTGCATTTCCATCTATTTTCAGGTAACTTTCATAGAACCCCTCATACTTGCATCCATTATCTACAATGCATGATGCACTTTCATACTGGACCAATTGACCATTTGGGATATTACCTGCTAAAGGAAACCCATCTGACACCCAGAAAGACAGAACTAGTGTTGGCTATAATTCACAATTGCCACACACACACACACACAAAAGGAACAATCACTTTTGGTAATTTGTGATGAGATTTAAGTTCATTACCTCCATGCACACTGCAGAAGTCATCTTCTGAATCAGATTCCATAATACTGAGGGAGTCAAACCATGCCTCCCCTGGGCATTTCCCTGCACATAGTTGAAATATTTACAGTCAGAAATCACATCTTCTTTTGCTTGTTAACTCTTCATACTGCTCCTCTGTTTGATATAATTTCAATTCACATCTTCTATGTACTTCTAGTTATTTAACAGACAAATTCTTAAGTCCTAAACACTTCAAACTTACCACCATTTCCATCAATCTGACTGTGGTTCCATTGAAGCTGAGTGAGGTGAAATGTGCCACTAGAAACCTCAGATCTCTTGCAGGTAGTTGCAGCACCTTTCTCAAAGTCAAGATGTACAAACTCACTAACAGACCGTCTCGTAGCTGAATCAGAATTGGAGGTGACAACCTTCTTCATCTTTCTCCCCCGGCGTCTGGCAACTCTGCGGACCCTTTTCTGCTGGGCTTTAATAGTTGCATGAGGTTTTGAAACACAGACACCCATCACAAAGCTCCTCTCTACAAAAAAAAAAACACAACTACTTCTTCCTTGAAGTAATGTGCCAACTTTGCAAAAACAGAAGACACACTGGATGTAGAGCAGTCTACATATACATATACATTTAACCTCTGCAAGCCAATAAGAAGATATAAGAGCAAGCTATGCCAACTCAATATGATTGGTTGTGTGGAGTTCAAAAACAAACTGTACAATAATAAAGGGAAAATATGAGAGGTAGCTTGGATGTGCATTAACGAAGAATCCAACATTTTCCTGCTACAACATATTGAAGTTGGCATGGACCCAATCAGTCCAATCACTTCTAAACATACAATTAATACACAACTTTTTTTTTTCAGAGAACATCTGTACAAATTCATTTGACAGAACTTAAAGTACGTAGCCGAATTTAAAAATAGTTACCTTCAATTCAAATGATAGTATCACTTGGCCACTTTTGAGAAAAACCTGAAGATAACCCCAACAAGAAAAAAGACAGAGGGAGAAAAAAAAACCATCAATAAATTCTGAATGCAATTACAAACCCACCACCAGGTGAGTATTCTTGAAGACATTCCATCTGTTAACGTTTTATGTATGTTTTGACAGAGAACCAATGGAACACGAAATATTGGAAAATTTATGTCTGCACTGCACAAGTCCCCCTCAGTCATGAATCATGATCGAAAAGACAAGAGAAGAGGCTGATAATTTGAGAACCAGAACCAGTTATGATGTTAAAAGAAATTAATACATCTGATCGTGTGGTACAAAGAGAGTGGTTGCAATGTGTTATGAACCATTAAAGAAACAGTAAATGCGCAATCATATTCAATGCATTAAAGTTTTAAAAATAAAATAGTGGAAGCAAAAAACGTACGTTGGATCAGATTTTATGGGGAAAAAACAGAGAAAGAAACATGCAAATTGAAATTGCAGACCTGGAGGGACTTAGAATTGATATTCCGGCATGAAAATAAGAGGAGGAAAACCGGCGTTCCCTGTGAGGAACTCGGCCTCCTTCTTTGAACTTCTCTGTTTTTCTGTCTCTCTCTGTTTTCAACCAACCTTTGCTGCCTTAAATCCAAATGAATTTTCCACACAGGAAATGCGAAACAGATTATAACGGCGAGAAGACAGAAAACACCTCACAAAACCCAACACACAGAGAGAAAGAGAGAGAGAAAGAAAGACAGGCTCCGTTGAATTCGGATCCTATTTTCCTTTTAAATCTCCATCTCTCTGTCTTCCTCTGTCTTCCTCCCCTGCTTTATCTTCTTTTTTTTGGGTGGCTTTTTTTAATTAATTAATTTTTTTTGGTTAGTTGTTTTTTAGGTGGGATTTTAATTTGATGGTATGGCTTAATTATCAGGGTTTTAGAAATTACACCCACCCACCTCATACGCGTTCTATTCTTCTCCTCTTCTCCTCTGCTGCCAATGTCATCCTTCAACAAACCATATTTTTAGACTCACTATTTTGCTTGGGTTTAGTTTTTTTTTTCTTTCCTTTTTTGGATTAATTTTCGTATTACCATTGACTTGTTTTAATCAATGTGGTGTATTCTAATATTAGGTTGAAGTAGTTTCAATCAAATTCATAAGTGACTGTGCAGAGTATGCCTATGTGCAATAAATAATGCAGCTGAATCTTGATTCAATCGCAATAAATAATGCAGCTATATATATATATATATATGTTATATCATATGTAACTGAGTGCTGAAAAAACTTGTGAAATGAAGTTCAGATTCGTTTGTATTAGTTTGCACTGCACGTAAAAGTTGTCGATGAATAGTATGCAAGTGTGGAAGGTCGCCATCAATGGCAGAGTGGCATTTGTGGAAAGGTAGACTCTAGGTTTAAATTTTTGTGCACGTCCAAATGTGAGAATCAGTCGGCTGACAAGTGACCACTGACCATGACTCTTGCTATATAAAATTTTGGGTCTCATTCTGCATATGAAGACACCACCAACCTATCAGTCTTATTTCACGTCAAGATTTATTTAGCCAGATGTGTCAGCAGTGGTGGAGCTAGTAGTTTGTCTTTTTTGGGGCCAGTATTGTAATTATAAGGTTTTTATAGTTTTATATTTCAACTGATATTGCAGCAGGTGTTTAAGAGTTATTGACTTTTTCATGAAGCTTTGGAGGGCCACGGTTACTGCAAGTCTGTATATGTCTCCACT